CAAGTCCCACGCCCATCTTCACAGAGCCCTGAGGCTGAACTCAAGGGGCTCCCAACGGTGGGAGACAAAACGGGTGTGAGTGGGAAGGGCGCAGGTGGACATGGCAGCCCTGTGAAGAAAACGCTGCCTCACCGAGTAACTCTCCTTCTTGGCAGCCATGTTGGTGTTTCGGTCACTCCAATCAAAGCCCACTTCCTCTTCTTCCTTCTCATTCAGCCACATCAACTCCTTGGTAGCAGCCGCCACAAACCCGTGCAAGCTCTCCAGGGACCGGAGGCGGGCCTTGGAGGACCGTGCAAGCTCTCCAGGGACCGGAGGCGGGCCTTGGAGGAGCTCTTTAAGTAGGAAAGAATGAGTCAGCTGACTGCTGCTGCTGCCTACCCCTCCCAGCCACCTGCAGCCCCCCCCCTCACCAGCAGCTTTGCGTATTGTAGGTCTAGGCGGCCCAGACAGTCTCGGTAGGCACCCCGGGTGGCAGGGGAGAGCTAGCTCTGCAAAAGATACAAGTAGTAAGGTCTGCGGTGCCTGGGCCTGGCCCACAACCATTGCCTACCCCAAGTGTACGGCTTACCTCATCATTCCGTGCCCGCTCGATCTTGGCGCGAAACTCCTCAATAGACTGATGCATGCCTCGGTGGCTGCCCAGCTGTGCCTCCACACTAGGCAAATCCACACCCCACTCAGCACTGTCTATTCGACGCTGGTTCTCCTCTACCCATGCCAGCAGGTCTTGCAGGTAGCGTAGTGTAGAGTCCTCTAGCTCTGGGCGCCTCTGTGTAGTCTGCAGGGTCACTTGGGTCACAGGGGCAGCCACTCCTGCCTTCAGCCGGAGGTTGTACTCAGTGCGGATGGCTACCAGGCGCTCATGCAGACGATACACCCTGAGAGGGCACCAGAGTTGGGAAGAGGGTCAGATGGATCTCAGGCCTCCTAACCCACCCTTCCCAGGTATGGTGCCTACCTCCGGTACATCTGTTCACCCTGTGGATGGCGCCCATCTTTAAGGGTCTGCACATCATTGAACAACAGCCGGATCATACCATCAGCCTTATCCAGGTCTCGCTCCACTTCCCCGGCCCGCTGAGCCACCTTGCCTGAGGCCAGCAGCCGAATATCCTGAAAGATGATCCTGTGTGACTTGGTCTGGCTGACTCTCCTACTCACTGCCTACAGTTCTCAACCAAGGCTGCCCTTCACCGGCTTCCCCAGCCTAAGATCAAGGTCCTGTCTGGCTCACAGCCTTGGAATCCCCGTTCTTTCCTTCCCTTCCTGGCAATCCCACATATCTTACTAGCATGCTTCTAGACAAATCTGTATCAGTTCTCTGGGGAATCGGGATCCATCCAAAAGATTCCCACTAGGTCCAAGGACAGAGACTGCCACAGCTTTGTACACAGAGTCCCTCCGTCATCTACCACACAACCTCTCCCACCCAGGCCCACACAGCCCTGGGCCTTCTGGGCCCCAGGGCACTTATCCAACAATGAGGCTGGGGTCTCCCCACTTCCCATTTCCAGAAGAGGGAGGGGGTGAAGGAAAGAGGGCCACTCTGGAATGAGGCAGGGAGGCAGAGTCCTGCCTAGTGGCCAGAAGTCAGCTCTGTTCATAAAAGGAGGTCAGAGTTGGCAGCAAACCAGAAGGGCCTGGATTTCCCGCCCTAGTGCCACACCCTGCGCCCATAGCCCAGCAGGCCACAGCCCTGGCTGCAGAGTAAGCAGCTCAGAGCTCCTCCTACCTCCCTCAGGCCTGGAGGGGTGCCCACCCCACCCTTACCCTGCCACCCCACCCACTTGCCCCGCCTCCCCTCTCCCCCTCACCGACTGCAGTAGGGAGTCAGCCTGGTTCAGCTGTTCCTCACACAGCCCAGCCTCCATCTGCAGTTTGCTCACAATAAAATGAAGACACTCCAGCCTATGAACCAGATCACCCCAAAGCCCCACAGTGAGTCACTGGGCCCACCACACTCCAGCACCATAGAGTGGCTCCCCTCTGCTCTAGCCTCACTGCCTGCCTGGGGCGTACTGTCCTGCTGGTCCCGAGCACTGGAGCTTAGTTGGATTCCCCAGCCTGGTGGGGGGGGGGGGGTTTCCTCCTCAGGCAATGACTCACCCTGGGGTGGTTCCCCTGCCACCGCAGGGCCCCACCCGCCTGCTGCCTCCCACACTGCCACCACCCTCCACATGGCCCACCTCTCAAACTCGCTCCGGAGTTGCTTCTCCCGCTCCAGGATGGCCACATGCAGCTTGCCCCATTCCTTTTCCACATCTAGCGGGTGGTAGCCAGGAGGAATCTTGAGCTGGCCTGCTTGTACTGCCCCCTGTGAACAGGGACAAGCTCAGGCCTGAACTGGACACAAGGACTCCCGGATGCTCATCTCCTCCAAAACCTGGTACAACTTTGGTCCCTAAGCACTAGGCAAGGTCAAGCTATACTTGAGAGACATCGACTCTGGGGCTCATGGAGACCTCAATTTATCTACCCAGGGAATATCTGGCCCTCATACCCCCAGGTAGCCCAAAAAACAGTAGACACCCCACTCACTTCCCGTAGGAGGGCCTAACTTTACCTCCAAAGACTGATAGATGCCTTTGGACCGGTTCTTGTCTGCCTCCTTGGCCGGGAGCTCTGTCTCCTTGAACTTCAAAAACTGGCACCACAGGATCTATGGAGACACGGGGTGTCAGCCGCTCACTACACCAAGACAACCCAAGGATACCAGCCCAAGTAAGCAGACCCACCTCAATCTCCTCAAAGCTGGAGGGGAACTTGCGCTCCTCAAAGGCAGCTGTATGATGCCGGATCCACTGCAGAAGCAGCAACACAAGCTCCCGGTACTCCTGCCAGCGAAGCTGCAGCTCCTATGAGCAAAGGAGTGAGCAAGCAGCCATCAGGGTCTTGGGTTCTAGGCTGAGGCCCACCTTTCACCCATCGTGGGCGACCCACTCACATTGGCTCTCACCCCATCCTGTGCGCCAGGCACACGGGGCATGGCATCATACAGGGATGAAACATAGGTGATGATAGACTTCTCATCAGGCTGAGGGACATCCACATCTGTAGAGGAAGCCTGGTTCAGTGGGGCTCAAGCAGTAAAGGTGAAGATGGGGCCAGCCAGTGAGTAGTTCATACCTTCTGGGTCCAGTAGCCTTGTAACTCCCAGGTCCCGCTCTGCCACCGAGAAAGCCTGGTCTAGGTTCTCCAGATTGGTCTGACGATAGACTTTGTTCATATCGATGAGCATGGGCCTGCAGGCAAGTGGGGATGGGAGGCGGGGGCAGAGACACCCACTGAGCAGGGCTATATAGACACATTCCTTCAGACATCCTAGCAAACAGAGCCCGGCCCCATACCCTCCTAAAGACATACTACCCACTTCACTAACATCTCCAATCCTGCCATGGGGAAGTTGAATTTTTGTTTGGGGTTGGAGGGTTGTTCTGGTTTTGAGGCAGGGGTCTCAATGGGTAATCCTGGATGACTGGCCTGTAACTCCTATGTAGACCAGATTCGCAGATCTATCTGCCTCTGTGTCTGCTGCCAGAGTGCTGGGATTAAAGGCATATGCCAGCAATGGGGCCCAAGGAGCCTATGGTGGGCACCAGCACAGGAGCAGTGCACTGGCTAGATAGCACCGACTATCTAGCTCCTACAGTCCCCTTGCCCGTCAGGTTCCTTCTCAGGGTTCATGTGGGCATGACCAGCCTGTATAAGCAGAGGTGCTTCTGAAGGGCCCCGTAGGAGACAGCAGGGCCCTGCTCCAGGCACCTCCCAGAGGAAACTGCAGGAATTCAATACATGCTGCAGGCACCAGGCTCCAACAGTGGAAGATAATTCCTCCTGCTGCCTCTCTGCCCTGACTTGTTTTGAAGTCACCAGGCTGAAGGGCTCCCAACCTCTAGCCTTCTTCTGTTCCATGGAAACACATACTTGTGCCGGTGGATGATAGCATTGAAGAGACGGCCATCACGCCAACTGGTGGTAAAGTTGTCACAACGCAGGCCTTGGTAGCCCTCTACCATACGCTGTGACCAGAGCAGCAGCTTTTCCTTTGCAGTCATGTCCTCCGACTGCCCGCTCACCTGAATGTCTGAGATCTATCACACACAGCAAAGGCAAGAGCTCATTCCTGGCCACCTGACCTGCCTGACTACCCACACCACCAGATGCCTTGGCTACCTGCATGAAAGCAGAGTGGCTTAGCATGCAACTGTAATACCCAGGGCTCCCAGGGACACACTGGGGTTCCTGGAGTTAAAGCCTATCACACTTATCTCAAGACCAGGCCACTCCAGGCGGCAGCTTCCACAGAAGACAACAGAGTCCCTAACTTCTACTGTCAAATGATTGGTGTTTTGGGCTCCCCTTAGCTGGGGGAAGCTGGGGTATATCCTGAACCCCCACACACACAATGAGGCTGGCATGCAACACAGCTGATGGGCAATGGACACAAGAAGGACAACCCTCAAAGTTGGTTCATCTGTTGGAGGTGAAGGGGCAGGTCAAGGCCCCTCTCTAGTTGCAGGCACAGGTAGAGGGAGTAGTCTCTGGGAAATGGACACAATGTATGGGGCTGGCATGTGGTAGAGGGAGTAGTCTCTGGGAAATGGACACAATGTATGGGGCTGGCATCCAGACCCTAAGTGCAATGGCCAGTCTGGGTCTCCCAGCCTGCTTGCTGTCAGTACTCGTGCCAGCTGTCCCTAGCTGTGTGTCTGTTGGCCAGCCCATGTGACTCAGCTACCATGCCAGTCTGGCTTTTAGGCCCAAGATCTTAGATTTGCGGCTTCCTGTGAGGCTAGCACAGGCAATAGATGAGTCACCCAGGACATCCCTGCAGCTCCAGAAACTTCTCTAGGCAGCCAGCAGAAAATGCATTCCTCTACAAGGAGGTTCAACCAGCCCTATCTAGCCAGGGCCTGAGGGCACAGGATAGGCAGGTCTTGGAGAAAGGATTACGCCCTGGAGCCACAGAGCTAGCAAGCATATGTTCAGACTGGCAGGAAGGCTCAAAGGCACCACCTCCCATGCCACACCCTAGCCAGAAATAGGGCCAGCCAACTAGCCATGGAAGCCACCAAAATCCTAGGGGAAGGTGGATGGTACAGGGTGGCCACCTACCTGGAAGTGCAGAATGATGGTCCAGATCAGGCCAAGGGTCAGCTTGGGGTTGCCATCAGCAATGTCATCATTTCTGATGTTCACTAACTTCACCTGAGAACAAATGGCCCAGTCATAACCCACAGAGCAGAGGGAGGTGGCCAGGTTTGGGGTGTATGATCTAGAGCCTGGGGCCAGGTAGACAGCCTTACTTACCTGGCGATGTCGGAGATAGTCCAGGGCAATCTGAACATTCTGCAGCTTGTGGAAACGCATCCTCCCCTTCTCTCGGGGCTGAGAGGAGGCAAGGCATAGTTAAGAGTCCACAAGGCAACAGTTGCTTCAAGGCCCCCCACCCTTCAGTCACCCTCAAAGCAGCAGGAGGAACTAAACCAAGGGTCTTCCCCAGTGCATCAACAGCCCCTCCATGGTCCCAGGTTCACCCTCTTCAACTGGATGACCACCAGCCCAGGGGCAGGCTTGGAAAGCCAGCCACCCCTGCTGTGGGAAGGAAGGAAGGGAGTGGGGAGGAGACAATAGCCAGGAAGCCACAGGCGGAGGGCAGTGGCATTGAAGGGGGGTCCTCAGTGGTGCCCACTGCAGTTTCTGGTGAGTCTCTGGCCCAGCCCCAGGCAGACAGCAGGGAGGACAGCAGGCAGCTTGATGCACAGCCATCAGCCCGCCCAGGAGCCAGATGTGGGCCAGGCTGACTTGGCTGCTAACCCCAGGTGAGTTGGGTCGGCTCCACAGTCTTGGGAAGCCCAGGTGCCGCTATGCCAGCAGGCACAACCACTCACCAGGCGCAAACTCCTGATTACGTCCCGCTCCCTCGGCTGCCCAGCCAGAGCAGGGCAAAGGGTAAAGGGCAGAGGTCAAGATTCAGAGTCCAAGCAGCAGAGAAACCAAAGCAGAGCAGAGCATGAGGTTACTGTGTTAGAGCTCAAATGCAGAGAACAGCAGGGACCATGGTCATTCACAGGCCTGGCCTTTGGCTGTAATGCCAACACCCTGGCCAGGGGGAGCAGTTAGGGTTGGAGGAGGCTGAAGAAGGTGAGAGACCGAGATGGACACTGACTGGGTAGTAGGGAAAAGCCCCAAGGAAGGAAGGAAGGCAGGGACACACATACCAGGCTGTCCCCTGAGAGGACTTCCAGCAGGGAGATGAGGTTGTGTCCATCACGGAGGTCTTCATAAAGGTCACTGATGTGCCTCTGAGCCTGTGGAAACAGCAGGGACCAAGATGGCCACAGATGAGAATCCCCATAGCCACTCAGGCACTGGGCATGGCACTGGGTGTGAAGAAGCAGGCGCAGGAGCACACCCCTGCCCTGTGCAGGCACCTACCTCTGCCCTCCAGTGCTACAGCAGAGACCATGAGAGACCAGAAGGAAGAAGAGGAAAGAGACAAGAGTAAGTGTGGGAGGAAAGGACAGAAAATAACAGGCTTCAGACATGAAAGAGGAGCTTAGGAAGTGTGAGAACACCCTGGGGGGGTGGGGGTGGGAGAGCTGGGGAACCCTCCCAACTCACAAGCAGGCACCACTAACCTTGATAAGGTGTTTGTTGACCCACTTGGTAAAAGTTTTCTTCTGCACACGGTCCCGTTCATCTGGAGGAGACAAAGCCAGTTTGCCTAGAGTCTGGGGGAGCCTAGAAAGGCCCCCAGAGGGGAGCACCATGCAGACACAGTGGCCTGCTAGGCCACACCTTGCCTGAAAAGGTTCTACCACGGCAACCCCAGGCCTTTCCCAGATCAGAAAGAGCCGGATCCCCCAAGAAGCCTCCCCATGCAGACACCAGAGACCAAGAAACCCAGGTCTGGCCTGCCCTAGTCCACAAAAGGGACCAGTCCAGCAGGGAGCTGCTGTTCAAAACTTCCATTGTTTCTAAAAGAGAGGAGGTCTAGAGCCACTGTACCCAGAGCCCACAGCATGCAAGTCTCAGCCTGCCCCACCCCACAGGCTGCCTCCCAGGCTGAGCACCAGCATGGCAGGAATGGGACCAGCAGGACTTTTGGAGGGAAAGTCAAGTCTCTCTAACAGGACAGCAGGCCTTCCCAGAGACATAGAGAGCCCTGGACACCCTGGCCCCTGGCTTAGGGGACCAATCAATGATGGAAATGGATCACTGGCCCCATCTTGAAGCCTGTCCCCAAAATCCATACCCTTATAATAGGGCCCCACCCCAACTCTGTGCCAAAGCTATCTGATACAGGAAGGACCCTTCCTGTCACCAAGGCCCTGCCCAGAAGGAATGCCAGCTACCTTTCTTGCCCTCGGAGGCCCTGAGTACAGCCAGGTAGAGGTTATCCTCTGAGCTGGTTCTCTTGCTACCCAGGCCCTCGGGCTCGGGCACACGAAGCCGGTGCTGAGACATGCTGCTGTCCCCCGCCCCTTCGTCACCCTGTCCCTTGGCTCTCAGGTGCTCTGTCTAGGCAGCCTCGTGTGGTACACAGGCTGCTGCCGCCGGCTGCTCTGGACACTAACTCAAAAGAGTCTCAGCTCAGACTGGAGTCCTTGTGGCCACTCCCTTGCCTGCCGTACTCCTAGCAAGGCCGTCCCACCCCAGAAGCCCTACCCCTCCTTGCCCGCCCCCCAGAGGGGAGTGTCCCTGCGGGAAAGGAGGAAGGCAGCCCCTCCCCCATGGCCACACCCTCAGCCCACCAGAAACAGGAAACCCGGGTTTCCTCACCCACCCTACCCACAGCAGTAGGACCTGGGTACAGAATGGGGGAGGGAAGGCTGGCTCCAGGATCGAAAGGGAACACATTCTATCCCCATGGCCATCCAGTGAGCAGAGGCTTCCTACCACACAGGGTTGTTAGTGTGTTCACACAACAGGCCTATTTCCCTGTAGAGTGACTGTAGAAGAAACTCCTAGGGGTGGTGGGTACCAGCTGCCTGTCTACTTCTTGAAGTTCCCCTAAACCATACCGCCTCAAACTTGCACTAAGCAGTAGCCCCCACAACTGCTAGGTTTTCAGGCCCTACTGAAGGACTTCCTGGCGTTGGCAGGCTCCCACAGGCTCCCCAACAGTCCAGCCCAAGCCAGCCCAGCCAGGCAAAGCACACCTCAGGGAAGAACAGCTCATAGCTCAGTGATGACTCATCCCAGCAGGGCAGACCAGCCCAAGCTGCAGGGACACCTCCCCAGTTGGGGTGGGAGAAAGGGCTGCTGGGGGGGGCAGCAGGCAGCACACCAAGGGGGCACAGCCAGTGAGTCAGACCTGGGGAGGGGGCCTGGGTGCCGTGACTCATATCAAAGGAAGCTGTACCTTGGGGCAGGATGGGACTGTTAGCAGCAGGGTAGGGCTGGCAGATAACAGCTGTTACAGGTTGTAAAGGGGAGGACCTGGGCAAAGGGCACAGGGGCCCCTGTGACTAGACCTGTCTACGTGTAGCCTCTGGCTCCCTTGGGTCAGAAGATGGAGCCACCTATGGCCAGCATCTAGAACTGCCCAACCTACCCGACCCATTCTAGGAAAAAATGTACCACCCAAACCACAAGAATTTTCCAGCCCAGGCATCAGCCTTAATGTGATCCAGCTGTGAGCTGCTGAGGAACAGCCCCCCTCTCCAGAGTCCAAGACCTCTCCATTCCAGGAAACGTTTGTCCTATGCTGCCCTTACTGGTGCCCTTTTGGCCACAAGAGGGCACTAAAGCTCTGTAGGGCGAAATAGGAGCAAGTGCCTGAGTTAGACCTGACATTAACCCCAGAGCACAGTGCTCTGCTGAGTGTCCCGGCCTCCAACACAAGACCACCTACCTCTTTCCCCTCTAGCCCAACAACAACCACAACCCACCAGAGATGATTCCTCCCACTCAAGAGGCCCTCTGAACCTCAAATCTGACTCCACACTGGTCAGTGCTCTGGGAGCTTCTCAAAGACCAGGCCAACAAGCTCCCAGCTAGGAAGCAAACCCTTCAGAGAACTGGAGGTGTTCTGGGGCTGAAGAAATGGCTCAGAGGTTAAGAGCACTGGCTGCTCTTCCAGGGGTCCTGAGCTCAATTCCCAGCTACCACATGGTGGCTCCCAACCACCTGTAATGGGATCTGGCGGCCTCTTCTCTCTGAAGTGCTTTTCTGTCATGCAAGTGGAACACTCTTTTATAAATTTGTGGAAGTGTGCAGCATGACTGCACTGTTGAAGTGAGCTGTCACTCTGCTGAAAGTTGAACACTGGAACCTAAGAAACGTGGAGGGGGGGTGTGGGATACAGGATCTGGCATCCAAGATGTACCCTGACCCTAATTCAGACTCCAGCCAAACTGTTTTTCCAGCGTCTTCCTCTTTGCCACTATGATGTTCTAAGGATGCTGTCTGGAAAATGGACTCAGCTCCAGGTAGGGGTTTCCACCTTGCCAAGTGACATCCAGGCAGCTCTTTACCTGAACATCAGTTTGTCTCTAGGGGGCCTCCTTCCTTAAAAAGTATTTCAGGAACTCAGGGCTCATGTGTGCCTTCACCTCTCCCAACTCTGCCTTGCCCCTCCCCTGCTCCTCCTAGGATGACACTCAAACTCACAGGAGCCCCAGCCCCCCCGCCCCCACCCCCCCCGCGCCCCCCCATACCCCC